GCATACACAGGAAATCTGTCTCCTAACACCAACACACTTCTCAGGAAAGTAGAGAAATAGCAAGTGCAGGAGAGAGAGAGAGAGAGAGAGAGAGAAGAGAGAAGAGAGAGACGAGATGAGGGAGGAGAGAGAGAGAGAGAGAATGAGGAGAGAGAGAGAGAGAGAGATGAGAGAGAGAGAGAGAGAAGAGAGCAGAACGAGAGAGAGAGAGAGAGAGAGAGGAGAGAGAGAGCCAGAGCGAGAGAGAGAGAGAGATAGAGAGGGTAGAATGAAGAAGAGAACGAGAGAACTGAAGAAAAGAAGAGGAAGAAGAGAAGAGGGAACGAGTCAACGAAGGAGGACAGACAACACTCATCACCAGGAGCATTGTAGAGAAATGAGAAAAATGAGCAGTTAAGAGGAAGAGGGAAGCGGAAAGACAAAAAGAGAAGAACGTCCATACCGCTCAAAACACTTACCTTCACTCCACCATCCGACTTTTTGTTTAGTAAACTTTTGCATGCTGAAACAGAAGAGGGAGAGGGACAGACGTTAGAACATGACTGGGAACTGGAATGCGCTTTTAACCAATCAGCATTCAGGATTAGACCCACCCGTTGTATAATCTAGAACAAACCACGCCCAGCGTCAATCAACCAGGAGCCATAATACTGTAGAAGAACAGAGACCAGAAACATAGAGGGCAGTGATGTCACAAGCCTCTGTGGTCACTGAGGTGAAGACCTGCTCAGTAGTCATCTGGCGTTTGAGACTTGGACAGTAAACACTGTAGGGAGCAGGGTACCTGTATGTACAGTGAGAGCAGGGTGGTACAACAGTACCGTTTCCTTTTCAGCATGCCTCACAGACATATTATCACGTACAGACACATGCTCTCGACGCCACACACACTGTGCATACATCACAGTACATTGCAAACGCTCACTTAGAAAACGAAAGAGATCAAATATAAACACACAGAGACGGAGAAAAACACACACACACACATATACGATAACCTTCAATCAGGTCTCAAAGATCCTCAAAGTCCCTTACCTTCCATTGAAAAATGTAGGAAGGAGGGCAAGGGGATTTTTTTTTTTAAAAGGTCAGTATTTTCATATCTTCATTTACAGCGACAACGACGACTGCAGGCAAAAATTGGTCTCAGGCTCGTTAGCAGGTGGTTCATGCGATGGTGGTTGGTGGGTCATATCGAAAGCTTGCCATGCATTATCCACAGCAAACTACAGCTCCCAGAGTGCAGCTCAGCTCCCAGAGTGCAGCCCAGCTAAAGGGTGCATCGTAGGGAAAAAAAGGGAGACACGCTGCCTGCCACCTGGTATAGATTGGATCCAAGCATCTAAAGCCTAGACTGTATTGCGGTTGTAAGCCATAAGCAGTATATCTTCTTTCAACTGCTGCAATTAAATACCATCTATCATCCTTGTGGAAGAGTTGCGAGGCCATGATCAGGCGGGAGAAACAAGACAACAAACAGCAACAGAAAGAGCAGGGCCAAGGGGGCGTGTCCAAGTGTTACTCAAAGCTTCTGTGGGCGTGACCCATCACCAACCAACTCAAAATGCCAGTGACATAGGTGTGCTTTCTTTCCCCATAGGAAGGTACAGACGGGAAAAAATCAAATGGAGCAAGCAACACGAAAGAGATAAAACAAGAAAGAAATCAGAACCACCCAGGTGCATCTGGTAACCCATGCAGGCTGGCAGAGGCACAGATACATGCTGGCTGGTTGGAGGTGCCAGTCCATGCAGGGGAATGCAATGGGGCAGTGGGGTATGGGCATAGACTGGGCATCAGCTGGGCATTGATTAAGATCTGTGGATCTTAACTGGACTTATTTGCAGGGGAAAAGTAGGGTGTGGGTGTTTGATTGTTAGTTTGTTTTTAGAGTTTGAGTCCTAATTAGAGCTGAGACTGCCCAAATGTTCATTGACAAAGATGTATTTAGTGGAAAGAAAGAGAGACATGCACACACTAGGTAGGTAGGCTGGCACACATATTGTGCATGCACACACACACAGTCCTGTTGTATCAGCGCTGTGACTGACTGTGCATTAATAACCTAAGCTAAATCAGGTTATGTTAAACGTCTTAGATATGTCTGAATATTTAAAAAAAATAAGGCCAGTGTCACCTGACAAATTGAATTATTATGGAAAGGAGATTGCTGTCTGCTATCACACAGCAGAAAGAGAGCTAGTGACTAACTTAATTTCCTCTCCAACCTCTTCCCATCAAACAGGCAAAGCGTCAATACAGGACTAAGATCGAATCCTACTACACCAGCTCTGACGCTCGTCGGATGTGTCAGGGCTTGCTAACAATCACAGATTAAAAAGGGAAACCCAGCCGCGAGCTGCCCAGTGACGCAAGCCTACCAGACGAGCTAAATGCCTTCTATGCTCGCTTTGAGGCAAGCAACACTGAACCATGCGTGAGAACACCAGCTGTTCCGGACGACTGTGTGATCACGCTCTCCGTAGCCGATGTGAGTAAGACCTTTATACAGGCACAAGGCCAGTACTACCAGTGCGCCTACTCAGAGCATGCGCCGACCAGCTGGCAAGTGTCTTCAACCTCTCCCTGACCCTGTCTGTAATACCTACATGTGTCAAGCAGACCACCATAGTCCCTGTGCCCAAGAACGCAAAAGGTAACCTGCACTCACATCTGTAGCCATGAAAAGGCTGGTCATGGCTCACATCAACACTATCATCCCAGACACCCTGGATCCACTCCAATCCATATACCGCCCCAACAGATCCACAGATTATGCAATCTCTATTGGACTCCACACTGCCCTTTCCCACCTGGACAAAAGGAACACCTACATGAGAATGCTGTTTATCACCATAGTGCCCTCCAAGCTCATCACTAAGCTAAGGACCCTGAGACTGAACACATCCCTCTGCAACTGGATCCTGGACTTCCTGATGGGATGCCCACAGGTGGTGAGGGTAAGCAAAAACACATCTATCATGCTGACTCTCAACAGAGGTGCGTGCTTAGTCCCCTCATGTACTCCCTGAACACCCACGACTGCGTGGCCGCGCACGACTCCAAAACCATCATTAAGTTTGTAGACGACATGACGGTGGTAGGCCTGATCAACGACGACAATGAGACAGCCTATAGGGAGGAGGTCAGAGACCTGGCAGTGTGGTGCCAGGTCAACAACCTTTCCCTCAACGTCAGCAAGACAAAGGAGATGATCAAGGACTACAGGAAACGGAGGGCCGAGCACGCCCCCATTCACATCGATGGGGCCGAAGTGGAGTAAATCACTGGGGCCGAGCTCCCTGCCATCCAGGACCTCTATACCAGGTGGTATCAGAGGAAGGCCCTAAAAATTGTCAAAGACTCCAGCCACCCAAGTCATAAACTGTTCTCTCTGCTACCACACGGCAAGCGTTACTGATGCACCAAGTCTGGAACCAAGAGGAGCCTGAATAGCTTCTACCCCCAAGCCATAAGACTGCCAAATAGTTAGTTAAACAGTTAACCAAATAGCTACCTGGACTATCTGCATTGACCCTTTTTGCACCAACTTTTTTGTCTCATCACATACGCTGCTGCTACTGTTTATTATCTGTCACTTTATTCCTAGTTACAGTATATGTACATATCTGCCTCAATTACCTCGTACCCCTTCCACACCGACTCTGTACTGGTACCCCTTGTATATAGCCAAGTTATCGTTACTCATTGTGTATCTATTATTACTTGTATTATTACGTGTTTTACTTTTCTATTATTTCTCTATTTTCTTTCTCTCTGCATTGTTGGGAAGGGCCAGTAAGCAAGCATTTCACTGTTAGTCTACCAACACCTGTTGTTTACGAAGCATGTGACAAATAATATTTGCTTTGATTCCCTAACTGCGTGAGCGCGCATGTGTGTGTGTAAGTGTGTGTGTGTATGTGTGTGTGTGTGACAATGAGAACTATGGCTATCACCTTCAATTACATTTTCTTTAGAACATCACACAATCTATCCATGGCTCATAATCATTTTTTTTTGTGTCACACTGTCAGCTACCAGTACCTGCCCGCAAAACACCATAACAAGGTGATCTAAGGCTGTGAAAATATTTTAAATCATTTGCATGGGCCCATAGAACCATGCGTCTTTAAAGCAGGGGTGTAGTGTCCTGCGTTCTAAGCCTTAGGGAGGGTCAGCCTTGGTCCATTGTCCTGGATCACTCAGAGGGTGTAGTGTAGGGGTGGAGAGGGAGGGAGGGGGTTTGGGGGGCAGTGGGTGGGGTGTGTGTGTGTTTGTGGGATGTGGCCACTCTAGAGCAGTAGAGTACGTGCCAGTGCGCAGGCAGATGGGGGGTGGGGGGCAACCAAGGGTCAGTGGCGGGCACCCCAGGCCACATGCTAACAAACCAGGGGGCAGTGTTGGCACAGTGCCAGGTTGCTGCGGCTCCCCTGCCCTGACTAACATACCTTCTGAAGCAAGAGCAGCTGTGCTGGTGGTGGCCGCAGGGCTGGTGTGCTGTCGGCCAACTATTGGACAGAGAGGCATTCAGTTGGGAGGGACCAACCAGGGAAGAGGCGGGGCCTCTCTTGAGCACAGTGTCACTTCCTTCTTTAAGTGACCTGCCCCTCCCCCTTCACGCCACTCACCCACCTTTTTCAACTCATAGATGATATGAGGAGGGGGGGGGGCAGATACATCCATGAGCTCCAAACTGTATATCCTACCGATACTTACCCCAGTGTGCACACTCAATGTTAACAAAAACACCTCCAATTGCCTATCATTGATCACAACTAGTTGTAAAAAAAAATAGCCACACAAAACACTTAGGAAAGTGTTTGAGAGAGTGTTCAAGGCAGTTTCCTCTCCAAGGGAAATTCAATCTGAGGTAAAGACACTAAACTTCTGAACATACAGTATGTATTATTGCCTATCTTTGGAGTATATTGACTAACTATAACGTAGAACAACACTAATGCCATTCTAAATGTGAACACCCAGATGCCCCCCTCACCTGAGAAGTTTCTGGTCACCAGCATGGTGGTAAGGATGGCTCCCTGGAGAAGACACAGATTACAAAGTTAGTGCAAAGGACAAAGTGTATACAATCTCTCTAACACAACAGATGGGATATATGTGTGCATTTGTGTGTGCACCCAAGTGAGTGTGTGTGTCTGTGTACACTCACCTTGAGTTTTCTCCTGGCATTGAACTTGCGCAGGCACTCCACAGTCTCTTGGCGATGCATCATGGAAGCCACAGTGGAACGTTGCTGGATTGTGGAACAGGAGCAGAGAAGTAACAACACATCAATGATTACGCCATCACAGCACCAGTTATGATGGTAAAATGGGGCCAACGTTACCATAAATGTAATACCGATACCATACTCAAGTACATCCAAAGCAAATGACGTGTAAGTGATAGCCTGGTGATGGGGTGACTTACGCAGATCCATGGGTGCTTGAGGGCCTGGTCAGCAGTGATCCTCTTGGCAGGGTTGATGGTCAACATCTGGTTGATCAGGTTCTTGGCTTCGGGGGTCACTGTGTCCCACTCTGGGGAGGGGAACTGGGAGGGAGGGAGGCAGGGAGAGAGGGGGGAGGTGAGAGAGAGAGTGAAAGAAAGAGGTGGAGAAATTATTAGAGATGCACATTAAGTCACACAAACACACAAACACACACAGACAGTACACACACTCTCTCAGGGTGCAATAAAATCAGCCCACATTGCAGAGATGCCAAACAATGAAGCCTGCTATCTAATTATGAGGAAGTTATGAGGAAATATAATTGAACTGAATGGTGCTTTCAGACAGCAAATTAAACTAGATACAAAAAGTAATTAATTGAATCAAAGTCGGGGCTGACGGACATCGCCGCATCGGAAAAGATTGCATCAAATCAATTACTGAAGCCAAAACCGATCCATGTTTATTCAGTTGCATTACACCTCACACAATCACATCTGATAAGACAATGGTCAAGACATGAGTAGAACATATGAGTAGAATAAAGTGCTAACCAGAGGTGGCCAACCATCCTCCTGGAGAGATACTAGGTGTGCAGGATTTTGCTCCAACCCAGTTGTAACACATCTGAACCTGAATTAGGAGGTAGTTAGTAACTAGCTGGTCACCAGCTACTTGTTAGATACTACTGCACTGTTGGAGCTAGGAACACAAGCATTTCGCTACACTAGCTCTCCAGAAGATGGGTTGGGCACCCCTGCCCTAAACCAAAGGTATACAGTAAAAATACAAAACACAGTCCTGCTGCATGTATACACATAAGAGCATCCCTGCTAGCTTGTATTCCTCATGCAGTAGTTTGAGTTGTGTCCCTGGCTGCCACAGTGATGTAGTGTCTCCTAGGCCCCTACCCCTGGGTTAGTAACTGCAGAGGCCACTCTGACAGGCTCAATGGGCAGAAAACACAGCTCTATCGCAGCCAATTAAAAATTAACGAGAGCAAAATCTGGACCGGGACTGCTTGGGTATTTACGGGGACTTGAAGGGTATGTGACAAAGTGTGCACTCAGACAGGCACACACTCTCTCTGGTGGGGTTCGTTGCACACACACGTGTGCAAACACACACACACACAGCATGAGGCTCTTTTGAGCTCTTCCCCCTCTCCTCCCATCAGTTTAGTGTTAATGGCCTGAGTGCTGCTAAAAGCTCCTTCAAGCCCAACCCAACACCACTCCACTGCTTCCCTACAGCTCTCCCTCCATCCTTCTCTTTCCCAAAGCCTCATCCAAACATACACACACACAAGCGCAAGCAAACACGTGCATGCAAGTACATAAACGTACTCACGCAAACACACAAGATTTTACATTTACATTTTAGTCATTTTGCAGACGCTCTTATCCAGAGCGACTTACAGTTAGTGAGTGCATACATTTTCATACTGGCCCCCCGTGGGAAACGAACCCACAACCCTGGCGTTGCAAGTGCCATGCTCTACCAACTGAGCTACAGGGGACTATTTTACTCACTACTCTGAGTCAAGGACATTAACAATGCACAAAAACTCACACACACATACACACTGGCCTCTCAATGAATTCGACATAATATAATCATGCACACACAAATCTGTTGTAATCCCATAGAGGTGAATGGTGAACAGAGAGAGAGGGGGCAGATGGTCACTACTCACATCGTAGGCCCCAGCCTTGATCTGCTGATAGAGCTTGTGCTGGTCTTCATCCCAGAAGGGAGGGTAGCCCACCAGGAGAATGTACAGGACCACACCTGCATACAGAACACACACACAGTGTGTGGGGGGGGGTTAGTACACACACACACACACACACACACACACACACACACACACACACACACACACACACACACACGCACATTGGAGGAGTCACTCACCACAGGCCCAGATATCCACCGGCTTGCCGTAGGGGTCCTTCCTCAAGACCTCTGGAGAGAGGTAGCCTGGAGTGCCTGCAAAACCTACAGCAGCAAATAACTTGTCAAAAGGAATAAAACAACAACGTCTAGGATCTAATGTAATGACAACACAGCATTCCATCAAAACCCCCTGTCATCCCCATTCATTCAGCTCTATTCTGCCCTACCAAGCTAAAGAGCAGTAACTGCTCATAGAGTGAAACTGATACGTTTTTTTATTGTCTAGCCAAATGAATTGTAGGCAGATCATTGGAGACCCACTGGAATACGTTTCCATGACAATAAAAAAATACTATTGTGTAAGTATATGTATTTGTATGTGGCTGTCAGTGTCATATAGTTTGATACTGGTATCAGCAAAGACCAACAGATAATACCAAGGTTTACCGTAGACACTGCAGCCCAAAGCTCAGTGAAACCAAGCTAAAAGGCAGTAACTGACGTGAGTGATGCCAGTTACTGCCTTTTTCCTTGGTTTCACTTTAACTTTTTGCAATTACTGCAAACATGACCCCCCATTTTCTCCACAATACAACACAATGGAGGCAGAATATTTGTCCACATGATAAAGCATGTATTTAATGTATAGAAACTGTAAATAACTCATTTTTGACCAAATGTGCAGTTACTGCTCTTTTGCTTGGTAGGGCAGTATTAATGAGTAGCATTCTGATCTGACAAGAAGGGACAAGCTAGGCTTCCATTCAGAGATGTCCAGTCTGTCCCTGGAGTGGGCACAGACGTCTGGCTCTTTGGCAAGATAAAAGCAAGTCTGTCAATTTTGAGCTGATTCCTCTACACTGATCTAATAAACATATATTAATGTATGTGGGTACTCAGCGAAGGCCTGCTGGCCCCGGTTTCTCTCTGGGGTCTGGTGTAAGTGACAGGTTCAAACAGCTTGGACTTGAAAGATAAGACACGGGGGGGGGGGGGCAAATCAAATAGTCCTCTGATTAAAGGTGAGGAGCCCTACTGTCAATACTGAACAACCTCTGGCCCCACTACTTTGATGTGCAAATGCCAAGTTACATCATGCCAGTAAGTGAGGGATGGAGGGATGATGGGCAGAGAGATGGAAGGAGGGAGGGGTGAGGGGGAGGAGAAAGGAGGAGGTAAAGAATTGACTTCCTGCCATTGTACACCTTCCATCTTAGTTTTTCTATCATTGCTAGCATTACTCTTTTCATGTCATGTACATTTGAATGTTCAAAGTCAAACTCTTACCGAACCATGCTTGCTCGTCTCCCTGGACATCGATGGCCAGCCCAAAGTCAGCCAACTTCACTGCAGCTCCCTTCAGCTTACTGGCCAGGAGCAGGTTCTCTGGCTACAGACCAGAGCAAAACCACAGAGACAGATATAAAGAGACTCAATCAATGAGGCTAAACTAATTGAAGAAGAAACTCCTTCAAAAGGCTATAATATAAAAGTCACAGACAGAGTTGAGTCATTCAACGGAACTGTGAGGTCCATCTACGCTGACCGCAAAACATGACACGAATCTGGATCAGAAATTCCATGAAAAAAACGTACTGTAGGTGATAAATGAAGAAAGGCATGAATCATTAAAAGTCATGTGTGTCAGAAGTGGCGTGAATGTAATTGGGTATGAGCTTCAATGCGGTGCCGAGTGCCCTCTTGGGCCTGGCTCAGTTTGATTCATGCTGCGACGGGCGCGTGACACTTTTGCTAAGAGAGTCTCTCTCTCTCTCTCTCTCTCTCTCTCTCTCTCTGTGTGTGTGTGTGTGTGTGTGTGTGTGTGTGTAGGAAAGGAGAGAGGGAGACAGACAGGAAGAGAGGGGGAAAGAGAGGGGGAGACAGAAAGAGTGCAAGAGAGACCGGGAGAACAGAGAAAGAGATAAAGGGCAGAGGAGAGAGAAAGAGAGAGTAGACAGACAGAGGGGAGAGAAAGAGAGAGTAGACAGACAGAGGAGAGAGAAAGAGAGAGTAGACAGACAGAGGAGAGAGAAAGAGAAAGTAGACAGACAGAGGAGAGAGAAAGAGAGAGAGCGAGAGATGACAACCGTCGTGATGAATTAGTCTCTACACTGGTGCTGCAGCAGTGTGTCGTCATACAGGTTGCCATGGTAACCAGGCTGCCACCAGCACCTCTCTCCTCCCCTTTTCTCTTCCCTTGTTTATCTTCAGCAATTCAGCCTCCGGAGATGCCATGCAGGCAGCCAGCCATTGTGATGGTCTCTTTGTGTGTGTGAGTATATGTGTGTATATGTGTGGTGGGGGGTTCATCTTGCAGTATCTCTTCTTCCCCTCTATGTACGTCTCACTATTTGGGCTCTATTTTAACAAACCTAACACAATGGTAAATCTAAGCGTAGGCAGTAGCACTATAGGTTCAGGGGTGTGTCAGAAATATTTTTGCTATTTTCATTATTACAATTATCGGCATACTTACTGGCATTGGCGCAAAAGGGCTTTGGTTTTGATGAATAAACAAGTTGTGGGTGTGTCGAGGCTTGGCCCTTCACTGGCCAATCAGAACGTGCTCCATGTCGAAATATGTGGTTGCTTCAAGTTGTGTATTTACGGTCTTCTATGTATTGCCTTGGAATCAACTCCAATTCCAATGTTAATCCGTTATAGTTTGTTAAACGGCTTACAGAAACGAAATAACAAAATCAAATCAAATTTTATTGGTCACATACACATATTTAGCAGATGTTATTGCGCGTGTAGCGAAATGCTTGTGTTCCTAGCTCCAACAGTGCAGTAGTTGTAGACCTGTCCTTGCTAAATACGTTAACTTGAACCCATTTGCAGTCCACATTGTTCTAAGTAATTGCATGGCTTCAATAGCATTCACATTGATATAGGGGCTAGGCCTACTGTAAATTGCATTATGGCTGAGCATGGACATGCCAAACATCGTCAATAAGAAAGATTCATTATTGATAAGGCCTAAAAAGATAACAAATAATTTGAATCAAATTCTAAACAAAACGAAACAACAACTTGTTTTAAATAGGCTATGTCACACTTACAGGAGGGGAGGCTATGCTTGGTTTTTAATCAAATCAAACAAAATACGAAAAAAACACTAGTTTTTTATGTTTCTAAATACAAAGTATACAGGCACCAAAAGCACATTAGGCTACTCTTGTTCCATGCGCATATGGGCAGTGTGCGTTACAGCTAGATAGGCTGTGTTTCTGCTGTCAAAATTCATAACTAACTCCGTTACCGCTAAAACAAGCTTTTGGTTGGTCTTAAATATCCCTATCAGCACTGCCTGAAATTAGCACTTTGGATCATGTTTTTAAGGACAAGCCTAAAATATTTCCAACCCCTCCCATCTGAGCGCAAGCGTGCTGATGTTAAACAGGTAAAATGCGACCTGGCGTTGGGGATGGAAAATGCCAGTGTGCCAGTTTTTACATTACCAAATTGCAGACTAACCTGTGTTTGACACTGGCGCTGCCTTAACGTCAGACTATTGCAACTGGCCCCCTCTTTCTCTTTCAAATTTCTAAAGGACATAGCATAAAACCTAGGCCTCACTCCACGGCAACTGCAAAAATCATACACACGCATATGTGCACACACACCCACACACACACATCACACACACGTTTGTTTTACTATCCTTGTGGGGACCAAACAATTGATTCCCATTCAAAATCCTACTTCCCTAATTGTAACCCTAACCCTAACCCCTAAGCCTAAAATAGCCTTCTTCCTTGTGGGGACCAGCAAAATGTCCCCACTTGTCCGAATTCTCCTTGTTTTACTATCCTTAAGAGGACTTCTGGTCCCCACAAGGATAGTAAAACCAAAAACACACACTTAATTATTTCCCCCTCACTTACTGCTGATCTCTGCGTTGGAGGGCTCTCAATCTGATGGCAACAGTAGTTACAATGCATTTGACTTTCGTGGAACACCTCCCAGCCTGCCAGCTGAATGACGGATGGTTTTACTGGTAGATGTACTCAGAGAATTATGGTGTTGATACAAGATGTAGTTGTAGTAGTATTGGTAATAATGCTTTCAGTGCCGTGTTTATAAGAGCTGTACATTCAAGTGGCACTCACTGTGATATTCAACATTCATCTTATAGACTAGAGCACGTAAACGGTTTGCTCTTGACAAAGGTAAGCATGCGTTAATGTCAAGCATGGGTTGTTGTTTTTCATCTAAACATAAACAAAATAACTATTTGAAGTGTGTCCTATTGTTAATACTGGAGTATGGTGGTAAGTATCACCAGGCTAGCCAGCGTTGTGTCTATTCACTGTGATGTCACCCTGGCTATAAATAGCAGCCAAATGGTGTTTGTCTGCTTTCGTCAGAGACAGAGAGAGAGAGAGAGAGAGAGAGAGAGAGAGAGAGAGAGAGAGAGAGAGAGAGAAAGAGGGAGGGAGACGGGCTGGGGGATGATAATCACCTGAAACACACTGTCTGGCTCAGTGCCTCTACCCACAATTCATCAGCACCAGCCCAGTCACTCTCTCTGACGTCCGAAGAAATTAGATTTTTTTTTTCATTTGCTTACGTGTGTGCAATTTTGTGCGAGTTTTCATTGGCTTACGTATACACGCATGTGTGTGCGTGAGTATGCATGTGTGCATATGACCGGGTAAAATTTCCAGTGGGAGGGATTTTGGGGTTTGGGGCCCCCCCACCAGGTGTTGCATGTTGCCATGGTGATTGATGACTCACCTTGAGGTCCCTGTGCACAATGTCATGCTGGTGCATGTGGTGGACACTCTCCAGGATCTGATTGATGCACTGGCTGCAGAGATAGGAGACACAGAACACAGAACGCACACGTCAATGCACAGCAGACACATCACACCAACCACACACTGACACAGTCAGGGATAGGAACTAATGGAAACCACTGGTTGATGGATCAGATGAGGTGAGTTTCCCCTTGCTGTTTAAGCACTTTGAGCACGTAGAGATTTGCTAAATTAATCCAATTCATGACTACTGCTGATTCTTATTATTAGAAACAGTGATCTTCAACTACAGACTGATTCGAGGCAGGCGAAGAGAGAGACAGAGAGAGAACCAAGAGAAAAACAGAGACGGCTAGAAACAGAGAGAAAGAGACAGACAAGCCAGACAGAGACTGAAAGAGAGCAAATAGGGAGACTGAGAAAGACAGACAGATGCTGAGAAAGAGAGAGGAAGAGCAGCCAGAGGAACCTCGCTAGCCTCAGCCCTTTTTCGATACCGGCTCTGTTTTCTTTGAACCCAAAAGCCTGCGAGACAGCAGATATATTAGCATGTCACCTCAGCGCCAAGGCAAATTTCCTACTGTCGACCTCACATCTGTCATATCCTCCCCACAATCTGGCTGGACGAATCACACACACACAGTTATATTCCATCTAGATGTGCCTACTCCTCCAATGGAGTTTTAAGGCAAACTTTAAGTCATACTGAAGTTGGTGCTTTTTGGCCTTACTCTAAACATTGCCGCCGACTGCCAAAGTGACTTATCTGCAGTTTTCCACAGTCTGTGGGTAAAACCAGCCGCCTATTAGGGCTAAATGGTGAGAGATATCATCTGTAGACTGCCATAGTGAATAAGGTCTTTATTAACTTCAGTATGTGTGAGGAGAAGTGGGTTTGATAGTACAGGGTCTGGTTCTTCTGTCTTTACACTCTCTAACACATTGTATTACTTAAAAACAGAGCTGAGAGGCCACTAATGTGGTGTTTTACATCAATCAACCCTTAAAAACAACAGCCCCTTTCCATCTAGTCAGACTGGGTTAAAAGTGGAGGAAGAAGAAAATAGAAGAGGGAAAGAATAATAAAAGAAGGAGAGAGAGAGAGAAGAGAACGGATGCTATGAGAGACGGAGTCCTAGGAGGCCGTAGTACCCGTGAGATATTCTCTGTGTCTTTCTTTCAGAGTAATCAGGAGAAAAGCATGTATTTTTATCCAAATTTGGCCAAATCTGTGCCCTGCATTCCATTCCATCCCACTACACAGGCACCAGCACTTCCCCAATAAAGTCTCCCTGTCTCTCGCCCTCCCTCCCATTTCACTCTCTGTTGCCCCTCTTATCTTTCGTACACATTTTTTCTCACTCTACCCCACATTCTTTGTCTTCTCCCTCCTTGTCCCCTCTCCTCTTTTTCTCTCCCTCCCTCACCCTCTCTTGGTTATCCAGTTTCTTTCCCTGTCCCTCTATTTCTGCACCTCTCTCTCCTCTCCCTGTACTTGTGAGGAGTCATACTCCCGGAGGCATTTTTCACCCTATCTATCATATTCGCTCTCTTCTTCTTTTGCTTGATTAAATGAGCAGCTCAGGCAACGTGGTTGAGCTCGGCCCCTGATTCTGTCCTGGAGAGAAACTCTTCGCAGCCAGAACAGAGCAATGCAGGTGTCACGTTCGTTCATAGACGGGACGGACCAAGGCGCAGCGTGATATGCAAACATGTTTATTTAACAAATAATAACGACAAAACAATAAACCAACGATACGTGACGTCCTAAGGTACACACAACAAACCTCACACGGAACAAGATCCCACAACCCACTAGTGCCAAAAGGCTGCCTAAGTATGGTCCCCAATCAGAGACAACGAGCGTCAGCTGCCTCTGATTGGGAACCACACCGGCCAACATAGATCTAGACCACATAGAAAATACACACCCTGACTCAACAAATAAGAGTCCCCAGGGTCAGGGCGTGACAGTACCACCCCCCAAAGGTGCGGACTCCGACCGCACAACATAAACATAACAGGGTAGGGGCCGGGTGGGCATTCCGCCTCGGAGGCGGATCCGGCTCAGGGCGTGACGACCTCTCACTCTTCGCCTCCCTGTTGCGCCCCTGGTCTGGTCTGGACCTCGGCACGCTACTTCCCCTCTCCTTCCTCTCACGATACGCCAGGCCCAGTCTGGACCCTGGTGTGGGAGACCCCGAACCTGGAGAGGGGCTGACGTCATGGTCTGGACTGGAGCCGCTGACCGGAGCTGGACTGGGCACCGGTGGAGCGGACTTCTCTGGCTCCGGAGTGGAGCCGCTGACCGGAGCAGGACTTGACCCCGGTGGAGCGGACTGCTCTGGCTCCGGAGTAGAGCCGCTGACCGGAGCAGGACTAGACCCCGGTGGAGCGGACTGCTCTGGCTCCGGAGTGGCGCAGCTGACCGGAGCTGGATCAGGCACCGGCGGAGCGGACTGCTCTGGCTCCGGAGTGGAACAGCTGACCGGAACTGGATCAGGCACCGGTGGAGCGGACTGCTCTGGCTCCGGAGTGGAGCCGCTGACCGGAGCAGGACTAGACCCTGGTGGAGCGGACTGCTCTGGCTCCGGAGTGGAGCCGCTGACCGGAGCAGGACTACCCCGGTGGAGCGGACTGCTCTGGCTCCGGAGTGGAGCCGCTGACCGGAGCAGGACTACCCCGGTGGAGCGGACTGCTCTGGCTCCGGAGTGGAACAGCTGACCAGAACTGGATCAGGCACCGGTGGAGCGGACTGCTCTGGCTCCGGAGTGGAACAGCTGACCGGAACTAGATCAGGCAACGGTGGAGCGGACTGCTCTGGCTCCGGAGTGGAGCAGCTGACCGGTGCCGGATCAGGCACCGGTGGACCGGGCACGGGCCATGCCGGACAAAAGCACCACTGGTCTGGTGCGAGGAGCAGGCACGGGCCGGACCGGACTGGCGATGCGCACCACTGGTTTGGTGCGAGGAGCAGGAACAGGCCGGGCCGGGCTGGCGACGCGCACCACTGGCTTGGTGCGAGGAGCAGGAACCGGCCGGGCCAGGCTGGCGACGCCCACCACTGGCTTGGTGCGAGGAGCAGGAACGGGCCGGGCTGGGCTGGCAACGCGCACCACTGGCTTGGTGCGAGGAGCAGGAACGGGTCGGGCCGTACTGGGAACACGCACCACTGGCTTAGTGCGGGGAGCAGGAACGGGCCGGACCGGACTGGCGACACGCACCACTTGCTTGGTGCGAGGAGCGGGACTGGGTTCCTTTATTAACCCCCGCTCCTTCTGCTGCCTAACCAGCTCCTCTCGCCGTGCCTCTACACCTTCCTTCTGCTTCCTCTGAACCAATAGCCCCCGTAACCTGGTGGCCTCCTCTCCTAACCAGCAGATCCGCCCTGTCGCGGCCTCCTGCTGCCTCGTCATCCACACCGTGTGCCCCCCCCCAACATTTTCTTGGGGTTGCCTCTCCACCCTGATCAGGGCCTCCATCTTTCATGCCAGATCCTCTCTCATCTCCTGCCAAGTCCATCCTCTCTGCTCCTCCTCGGCACACTGCTTGGTCCAGGTCTGGTGGGATCTTCTGTCACGTTCGTTCATAGACGGGACGGACCAAGGCGCAGCGTGATATGCAAACATGTTTATTTAACGAATAAACACAACGACAAAACAATAAACCAACGATACGTGACGTCCTAAGGTACACACAACAAACCTCACACGGAACAAGATCCCACAACCCACTAGTGCCAAAAGGCTGCCTAAGTATGGGCCCCAATCAGAGACAACGAGCGACAGCTGCCTCTGATTGGGAACCACACCGGCCAACATAGATCTAGACCACATTGAAAATACACACCCTGACTCAACAAATAAGAGTCCCCAGGGTCAGGGCGTGACAGCAGGCCTCTGGGCCAGAGCCTCCATATTGTCCACATGCTGCCTGCAGCTTCCTGTCCCCTCTGACAGCCATACACCCCTGGCCCACACCAAGTTTCACTCTCTCCCACACGGCACACAAACACCTTGCCAGGACAATACTCACCCTAGGGAGGAAAGCATGAGTGTGGTGCTGTATAGTTACACACAATGTCCATGTGGCGAAGAAGAGGATGTATTTGCCCTTACTATGTTCATATGTACAAAGGTTTCCAAAGATACATGGTACAGACACAGCTGGGTTTCAATGGAAGCCAAGTGAGGCCCAAACAAAGGTAGGTTGGGGGCAACAGTTGCAGTGTTGTGTGTTCTCAATATGGATGTAGGATGACAGTGTGTACTGTACTATATATGTGTGCATATAGGAGAGTGTGTTTGCATAATGTGTGTGTGTGTGTGCATATGTGCACGGGAGTGTGTATGTTCCCACCTGGCATCAGCCTCACTGTAATACTCTCTGGCAACAATGTCTTCAAACAGCTCTCCACCGGTGACACTGGGAGGAGGGAAACAACAGCTTAGTCAACACATGGACACCAGTCTGGAAGCACATATGATGGCACACACCCAGTCTACCAGAGACACCAGGAAACACAGCCCAGAGAGAGCACACACACACACACACACATAAAATCATGATTTATGCAAAAGACAACTTAGTCTAAGACAATTAAGTAAGTGTTTTGGTTGAGGAAGGATGTTGCCAACAATTGGGGCTAGGGTGTAACCCATAGATATGTTCCCTCCCCTCCCCTCCCCTGAGTGCCCTGTGGGGACACAGTGCTATCTGAGTGGTGACATGTCACCCTATCCTCTCCTCCTGTCAGAACAGACCCACTAGACTATGTTCTACATAAAACTCTCAGTCTACACCAGTGTTTCCCAACTCCAGGCCTCGAGTTTGTCTGGGGCTACAACATAAATGTGTGCCGTTGGGGGTACTCAGGGACTGGAGTTGGGAAACACTGGTCTACACCACTGCTGATAACCATAGACACCATCACAGCCTCTGGAGTACAACAACAAAGTAGGTATTACTGTAACTAAAGAAATAAACATTTCTGATGATTTTTGGTATTGGATGTATTAATGATAATAATATGGTCAGTTAGCAGACTTATAATTAGTACATATAGTCATTACATGTGGCCTCCGTAGGAATCAAAGCCACATTGTATTCTCTAAGCAGTAAGCAGCATTAAGTATGAGAGTTGTGAGAGTTTATGTGCCAGAGAGAGCAGTGGGACCGGCTGAACGGTATCAGTATACTCACAGGTCAAAGACGAGGTAATGGAAGCCTTCCTCTGAGATACTTTCGTGTAGTCGTACTGTGGGACAGACAGACAGACACACAGACAGACAGGGAAACAGAGAGAGTTAAATAACATTCAACTCTTATCTCCTTATCTCTCGCCTCGTCAATTACTCCTCTGCTTTCCCACTGAGCCCCAGGGACGCACTTAGGACAGTGAGCTTGTTTGTGTAAAAATGTGACCTAGAGTTCCTAGAAAGCAAGATATTTGCGTGGGCAAACACATACTTGCTCAATCCCCTGTTGCCTCTGGCTGTGGAAGTGAAGTTCTTTCTAGGTAGGAGGTTAAGCCGTTTCATTCAGGTGACATGAGCAGGTGTCAGTGTGAGTAGTATTGCACTGCCATTTATGTCCTATAGCATGTCTGTTCACTGTCTTCAGTAGCCAGTATACTATACACTATGTGTTAGCATGTGGCATGTGTGGCATAAGAGATCAAGTTTGAATATACTGTATGTGTGATTGCATGGGAGTGTACACTACCGGTCAAAAGTTTTAGAACACCTACTCATTCAAGGGTTTTTCTTTATTTTTACTATTTTCTACATTGTAGAATAATAGTGAAGACATCAAAACTTTGAAATAACACATATGGAATCATGTAGTAACCAAAAAAGTGTTAAACAAATCAAAATCTATTTTATATTTGAGATTCTTCAAATAGCCACCCTTTGCCTTGATGACAGCTTTGCACACTCTTGGCATTCTCTCAACCAGCTTCATGAGGTAGTCACCTGGAATGCATTTCAATTAACAGGTGTGCCTTCTTAAAAGTTAATTTGTGGAATTTCTTTCCTTTTTAATGCGTTTGAGCCAATCAGTTGTGTTGTGACAAGGTAGGGGGTGGTATACAGAAGATAGTCCTATTTGGTAAAAGACCAAGTCCATATTATGGCAAGAACAGCTCAAATAAGCAAAGAGAAATGACAGTCCATCATTACTTTAAGACATGAAGGTCAGTCACTCCGGAAAATTTCAAGAACTTTGAACGTTTCTTCAAGCACAGTCGCAAAAAACATCAAGCGCTATGATGAAACTGGCTCTCATGAGGACCGTCACAGGAATGGAAGACCCAGAGTTACCTCTGCTGCAGAGGATAAGTTCATTAGAGTTACCAGCCTCATAAATTGCAGCCCAAATAAATGCTTCACAGAGTTCAAGTAACAGACACATCTCAACATCAAATCTTCAGAGGAGACTGTGTGAATCAGGTCTTCATGGTCGAATTGCTGCAAAGTAACCACTACTGAAGGACACCAATAAGAAGAAGACACTTACTTGGGAAAAGAAACACGAGCAATGGACATTGCACCGGTGGAAATTTGTCCTTTGGTCTGGAGTCCAAATTGGAGATTTTTGGTTCCAACCGCTGTGTCTTTGTGAGACGCGGTGTGGGTGAACGGATGATCTCCGCATGTGTATTTCCCACCGAAAAGCATGGAGGAGGAGGTGTTATGGTGTGGGGGTGCTTTGCTGGTGACACTGTCTGTGATTTATTTAGAATTCAAGGCACACTTAACCAGCATGGCTACCACAGCATTCTGCAGTGATACGCCATCCCATCTGGTTTGGGCTTATCATTTGTTTTTCAACAGGACAATGACCCAACACACCTCCAGGCTGTGTTAGTGATAGAGTGATGGGGTGCTGCATCAGATGACCTGGCCTCCACAATCCCGTGACCTCAACCAAATTGAGATGGTTTGGGATGAGTTGGACCGCAGAGTGAAGGAAAAGCAGCCAACAAGTGCTCAGCATATGTGGAAACTCCTTCAAGACTGTTGGAAAAGCATTCCAGGTGAAGCTGGTTGAGAGAATGCCAAGAGTGTGCAAAGCTGTCATCAAGGTGGCTGTTTGAAAAATCTCAAATATAAAATATATTATGATTTGTTTAACACTTTTTTGGTTACTACATGATTCCATATGTGTTATTTCATAGTTTTGGTGTCTTCACTATTATTCTACAATGTAGAAAATAGTTTAAAAAAAGAAAAACCCTTGAATGAGTAGGTGTTCTAAAACTTTTGACCGGTAGTGCATGTGCATGTGTCACCTCAGTGATATATGGCGCAATGAGCTCAGAACATTCAGCTGGTTCAGCCATCCCCCATCCCAACGACCCCCAATCCCAATGACACAAACACACCCATGCCTGGCATGCCTCTGTGGGAACAAAGGGGTCCCCACCCCAATGGTGAGCTGGGGGGTTTATTAGAGAATGATGTAGATGTTCCCACTGAGCTTCTGTGCTCATCATGGAATACCAGGATTTGCACTGGGAACACACAGACTTCCAATGCTAACGCCACTCAAAGCATTGGGGCTTAGTGATATGTCCCTCAACACATCGTCTAATATCGCTCATGGCACACGATGGTGAGCAACCATACAGGATGTGTGTTTGTGAGTCAATGTGTGCATGCATAAGTGTGTTCCTGTACTATATGCGTGAGAGAGTGTGTGTATAGTTATGTTTGACAGGATGTGAAGGCCAACAGTACGTGGTGTGTGTGAATCATGTGTGTACAGGCCTGCAATGTCTGTCACATGTGTGTTTAGGAGCACAGAAAGAGAGCAAAAGGGGGCAGAGAGTCAGTGTGTGTGCGTGTGTGTGTGTGTTGGAATGAATTAGCCTGCCCTGCCAGCGGCAGTGCGCTCCATTCCTCCCTCCCTCCCCTCTCTCTCCTTTCTCTCTCAATTGCTCCCTTTGTTAGGAGTTTATCTGCAGTCCAAGCAGAAAACATGACAAGCTGTCCCTTTGACAGAGAGGTGAGGGGAGGGAGAGAGAAGGAGAGAAGGAGTGTGCTTTAGGGGACTGAGAACAATCTGGGACAGGGAGAGAGAGAGAGAGAGAGAGAGAGAGAGAGAGAGAGAGAGAGAGAGAGAGAGAGAGAGAGAGAGAGAGAGAGAGAGAGGAGAGAGAGAGAGAGAGAGAGAGAGAGAGACGAGAGAGAGAGAGAGAGAGAGAGAGAGGAGAGAGAGAGAGAGAGAGAGAGAGAGAGAGAGAGAGAGAGAGAGCAGGGAAACAGTGAAAGTGATAGAAAGAGAAAGAAGGGGAGAGGTGAGGTGAGAGACAGATGGGGAGGGCGGGTGGACCAGAATGAGATGCCGCTGGAGAACAGAGAAGAAAGAGAGAGAGAAAGAGAGAGAGCAGAAAGAGGAGGATGAGAGAATGAAAAAGCAATTGCGAAGAGAGAAGAATGCAGAAACGAGAAGCAAGTGAAAGCAAAAGTAAAAATGCAGAAGGAAGGAAGAAAAAGGAAGTAGGTGCTTGTAGTTTGAAGAAGCACATTAATATAGTCAGGCAGTAGGAGAAGAGGCATTCATGCTGTGCTATGAACTCTTCTCTCGTCCTCTCCTCCCTCGCTTTATCCGGTCCTCCCTCCCTATCTACCTCCCCCTTCTCTCTGTGGCTTTGAAAGTGTAATTACATGTTGTCTCCCTGGCCTGCTTGCTGCTGCCTGATCCCACCCACCTGCTCTCACCCACCTGCACACACACACACACAGACACAAACACACACACACACACACAGTGCCCCTGTCTTCAGCCACACAGCTCACCACCAACACCAATCTCCCCAATATACATTCCTGTCATACATATCTCACATACACACAGACATACGCATGTACGCACACACACACATTGCACACGCTTGCACAAACACACACCTGCATCAGTGACGGTCGGTGCCGTTTAAGATGAGGGAGGACAATTAATTTTTTCCATGAGCATGGCCTTATTTCTATTACAGCATATTGGATGACTGCCATTCATATTCCATTCACCCAGTTCAATGTAACGTCGATAGGTTTAGGCTACTACATGATACTCCAATTTTCCCTATACCCATCATGAGGTTGCTACAACCTAGTTAATGAATAAAAGTTTACAACGTAGGTGCACACAGGTCGAGAGAAAAATGTGAGGTGACGGACAGAGGGACAGACACATTCAATACCGCCTTGCACACTCTTGCCTGCATATAGCTGATCTAGGGTGTAATGATTAGTCCAACAGTTGCAAACAAGAGTTTCCATTGGACAAATTCAGGTATGTTTATCCCCGTTTCGTTCCGTTTGCTAACGTTTTTCAACAGAATCAGCGGAATGAATACACCCCTGATCACACATAAACAGTTCACTTTCATAGCAGCCACGTTGTATTCCTTCTCACATTTACGCTGTCTCCTCCTTTCATCTTGTCCCTGCGCTTGTGGACTTCAATGCACAACACATCAGCTGAATGTGACCAGGCGAAAAAACCTTTCCAAGCCAAACCATATCATAACCGCTACACACAGCCTACATCGTTGTCACCATATTAGCTAAAGAAACGTCATAGTCAACATAGCTAATAGAACTAAACACGCTACAATCATGCAGTACAGTGTACAGTCAGTCAGCAGTTTAGCAATTACAACAGCCGGCCCTGGTGGCAATAAATTAGTAAAACCAAAGCTTACTTTGACTTGGAACTTGGAGTTCTAGTGTTGTGTTGGATAGTCATAGCCAGCTAGCTAACATAGCATCCCTCAGTTTGAGCCGGGTGTTTGAGTATGCTAAACTAGCTAGCTGCATTTGCTAGCTAAGTAAGTGAAAGTGAGTAAGTGAAATATCTGTTCTCCCGAGTGGCGCAGTGGTCTAAGGCACTGCATCGCAGTGCTAGCTGTGCCACTAGAGATCCTGGTTCGAATCCAGGCTCTGTCGTAGCTGGCCGTGACCGGGAGACCCATGGGGCGGCGCACAATTGGCCCAGGGTAGGGGAGGGAATGGCCGGCAGGGATGTAGCTCAGTTGGTAGAGCATGGTGTTTGCGACGCCAGGGTTGTGGGTTCGATTCCCACGGGGGGCCAGTATGAAAAAAATTATGTATGCACTCACTAACTGTAAGTCGCTCTGGATAAGAGCGTCTGCTAAATGACTAAAAATGAAAATGAATCTCTGTCTCTCTCGCTTCTCCTTAATTTTTGAAGAAATGAGTCAACTACTCACCACATTTTATGCACTGCAGTGCCAGCTAGCTGTGGGTGATTGAACGATGAACTGAGGTCCACAACTAACATATAAAGTCCACAGAAGAAGAACACTACTACTACTACTTACTACTGTAGGAGGAGAGATTACTAAAAACTATTAGTTTCCCCTTTTATCTGTGTATTAAATGTTGAAGTAGAGAACA